TCAACCATTGGCTGAAGAACTGAATTTATTCATTGCTCTGAAACAATGAAATTTGCACCATGACTTTATGGACATACTACAAAGCTTAAAAGCAATAAATATATCGTAAACGGGAGGGCTTTGCAAGCAGCAAATGCATTTTTTTAATAAAAATGCTGCTGAGCAGGAAAGAAAGTGAGCAGTAGATATAAAATAGGTTCAAATCAAAGATAAGAAGTTATTTCTTTGAAGTCTAACTTTTAGAGTACTTCATTGGCCACACTGGCTGTGGTATCTTGGGAGCTGTAGTCAAAAGCAACAACAACAAAACACTATGTGGCATTGGCAAATTTGTGCTATTTATCTAGATTACCAAAATACATGTACAGATAAATATGCGGAATACAGATTGAAATTCAACACACATTCAAATGTAACACTTGGGAAATTCTTTTTAGAAAGTACAAGTGATGAAAGCCATGTTGGCACAAAATATTTAGGTCCATTTTTGTGTGCCTCTGTCCCCATCTTGTTCCATTTTGTTGGCTTGCAAAAACATCATTGGTTTAGGTATCTGGATGCAGAACCAGAGGTTGGTAGTTCGATTGCCTGCTGGGCCTCCTTGACAGGTGCTAGACTGGATTATCCATAGGGTCCCTTCGAGCCCTGCAGTTCTAAGATTATAGATTATAGATATAATTTCAGTATGGATTTTAGAAAGTACAGTAGTTGCTCACAGTTATAAGTCCAAGGCCTAAAATAGTCGTTGCTGTTAAAATTACATGTTAACATTAATTTTTTATTTGCTCATTCTCAATCATAACTAAAACACAAATTACAGTGAGTTTTCCCCCTTTAAATATGAACGTTATCAATTGCTGGCCTGAAGCACACAACACACTCCTCCTGTCCATCTCATTGACATGTCATCATCCACAGCACAGCATGAGACACTAGCACTGTGCACATAACACAAGTCAGCATTTGGACAAGGCAATATTTCTTGCCAAAGCTTAGTAAATCAAAATGCTGATAACTAAAAAGTTGCAGGTGCACAGCAAGAGGAATAAATGTCATCCCATATCCAGTAGCAGTTGTGGAGTAAGTAAACTTTCAAGACTGTTGCAATTCCTAGGTCAGACCTGGGCAAAATGCAGCCCACCAGATGTTGCTGAACTGCAAATCCCAACACTCCTCACGATTGGCTATGTGGGCTAGGATTGCTGGGAGTTGCAGTTCAGCAACATCTGGAGGGCTGCATTTTGCCCAGGTCTGTCCTAGGTGATCCAGAAGATGCAGTTCTACCCTGAAACATCTCGAGCTTACCCACTATAACCTATAGAACTGAGGAATAAAAGGTTGCCATGAGTGGGAATCAGTTTGACAATATATAGTTATTATTAGTAGTAGTAGTAGTTCTGGGCTACATTCTGTTTTTTCTGGGCTTGTAAAGGTAAAGTTCCCCTTGATATTTAGTCCAGTCATGTCTGACTCTAGGGCATGGTGCTCATCCCCATCTCCAAGCCGTAGAGCCAGCGTTTGTCCATAGATAGTTTACGTGGTCACGTGGCCAGCGAGACTAGACACGGAATGCTGTTACCTTCCCACCATGGTGGTCCCTATTTATCTACTCGCATTTTTACGTGCTTTTGAACTGCTAGGTTGGCAAGAGCTGAGACAAGCAACGGGAGCTCACTCCGTCGTGTGGATTCGATCTTATGACAGCTGGTCTTCTGACCTTGCAGCACAGAGGCTTCTGTGGTTTAACTCGCAGCACCACCACGTCCCTTCTTCTTTTTCTGGACTACATTCTATTATTTACTTCTGGCTAGAACATACATGAGATTCACCTGGATAGTGATGTAATGGATAGAGTGGGGGACTAGGACTCTGGAGAACAGGGTTTGAATCCCCACTCAGCCATGGAAACTGACAGAGAGAATGGAACTAGTAAAAACATCCCATACATATCTCACTTACCTTGAAAATCCTGCTAGGGTCACTATAAGTGGGTTTCAACTTGACAGCATGTAACAACAACAACAGAATATGCACACTGAATAAATGAGACTTACACAATTTAATTTAATTGGCTCCTTGCATTAAACAGATCTATTCCAATTTGGAATTGAGCAATCTATTTTATAAAACTGTTTTTAATGCCTGCCTTTTTATAAAGGCATCTCCTTCCTTCCTTCCTTCCTTCCTTCCTTCCTTCCTTCCTTCCTTCCTTCCTTCCTTCCTTCCTTCCTTCCTTCCTTGTGAGATAAAGCATCAAGATTAAAAATAGTTAAACAAAGGACTGAAAAAGTTTCTCATCTCTGCATTGTATTAAAAAAACATATTTGAACTTGCATGCCCTGATCTGTGTGTTTCTTTAGTGATTAAAGTATTCCACCTTCCCACAAAATCTATATTTACATAAAGAAGCTGAGTTTTTTATGCACGCCTTCAGGATTCTTAGGCAGATATCCAATTTAGGAGTTCCCTCTCACCGCGTATTAAGCATCTTTATTGTCTGGACCCATAACTCCATACTTAGTGACATTTTTCCTATTGGAAAGTTTTTTTGTGCTCACAGTAATTATGCAAGGGCTTTCTAAACAATGTAAGCTCAGGATCCAGAAGTAGTTTCTTTAAACTATACTTCTCAGAATGCTGACTGGAGTTCTGGGTGTCCTCAAGAAAATAATTTTTTCACTTCTGAATGAAAACAGTTATGTTATATTTTCAGCACATGGCCAAGTTGTGTCACTACGTTCCTACTTCTACCATTTCCTCTCACCTGGATGTCAGGATATTCTTTGTATGAGCATCTGTCTCATTCAGGATTAGAGCAAAGTTCATTCTGTCTACATGTTATTTTGAACTAACCTGCCTTTTACTTCCCAAGCTGTTGCACGGACTAGAAGACAGTAGTCTTTTCTGTTTTCATATTTCTCCAAATTTTGTAATTTGCCTAGGTTGCCATAAAAATTGTGTATAAAATGTTTACATTTTAATTTACTTAACATACATGTCTTGATGCAATAAACCTCTGTAAGTGGCTTACATTGAAATACACTCTTAGTGTACAATATGCAAACAATATAAAACAGCAAGTAAAATTAGCATAATTAAGAAAAGGGCTAAAGAAATATATACTCTAGAATCCATGAAATAGGGATTTTTGTGCACACAGAAATGCAGATCAATTTCATGTGGACACCATTGATTGATTGATTGAAAATTGTTATGGAGAAATGAATTTGTTCCTTGGGAAATGAAACATTTAGAATTACCAGAAAAATATCCATCCACCTCTGTTCTCTATTCAGGGTGGTGTGCTCCTAACTGGGATAGATTTAATCTCAATAGGAAAGCAATCTCCTTGTTAGGCATCCCAAACCAAGCTTGCTTTATAGTTGTGGTGGCTATATAGTTTGGGTGAGAGACTGTTGGTAGTCATGGGCAACTGAAGTGTAAATACTGGCAGGATTCAGGCTAGAGCTGGATGCAGTGTTAGGGCAGATTACACAAAGACCAGCAGATGTGTGAGCCCATTTGGGAAGGAGTTGGGGTTAAGGATATAGGCAGAGGATGAAACTGGCAGATTTAAAAGGAGAGAAACTAGGTGTCACCAAGGAGTGGCGGAACATGCAGAGCCACGTAGATCACATTAGAGAGTCCTATGAGCAGGTCTAGAGATAAAAGGGATAGACTTGACTTGAGAGCATCTATATTTGTGCCAGGTTTTAGGAGAAACCAGTCTGCTTTTCAGGAAGGATGGTGCATGAATTCAGCTAAAAACACAAATTGTGATTTTAGAAAGCAATGACCATATAGGAAAAAACAATATCCTTTATTTTTAAATACATTTGGAGATGAATTCTTTCTTAAGTAATAGCTATCTTTTTTGTACGATTGCATAAAAGAAGATGGATTTCTTCACCCTCTCAAAAAGAAGTCCATTTACAAAAATATTTTTGACACCGCTCTTCAGCCAAGTCTTCCTTTGCAGCTTAGATCCATAACTAAGCAGGGAAAAGACAATCTCTGCCTTATAAATACAAAAGGCAGGTAGAGTGGGTAGGCAAGAAAAGAAAAAGAAAAAAATCAGAGTGGTCTTCTGCAGAGCCTGGAGATGTTCTTAAAAAACAAACAAACAAACTAAAGCTCCTAAATGGTAAGTGACTATTATGGCTGGGAGATTCTGGAAGTTGTAGTCTGAAAGCGAACATTTTCCACTCTCCTTGGGCTAATGGAGTGGCCCTGTAGTCCCATCTTTCTGTCTTTGTCTTTTGGCAGCAGTTGTGCTGTAAGGCAGTGGTCCTCAGCCTTGGGCCTCCAGATGTTCTTGGACTTCAACTCCCAGAACTCCTAGCCAGCAGAGGGGTTGGTGAAGGCTTCTGGGAGTTGTAGTCCAAGAACATCTGGAGGCCCAATGTTGGGGACCACTGCCGTAAGGGATCAGTAAGGTGATAATTTCAGGACAGGATGTGGTTAATGGAATCTTTCTGGAAAGCCAAGGGAAAGGCCCTGCTATCCATATATCTCTGCACTGAATGGAACAGCTGCATTATACTGGGCTCAGACTCTTCACCCATGAAGTTCAGGATGGCATCCTCTGAGTCATAGGAGCTCTGCAGAATATCAAATGGAGGCCTTTCCCATCATCTGCTGCCTGTTCCTTTGAATTGGAGGTTGTAGGGAATGGACCCAACAAGCTACAGTCCCCTCCCTATAATTAGAGCTAAAAAGAAATGAAAAAGCATACTTCGTTGTTCTCTGAAGTTAAAACAGTAAGCCCGTTCAACCCTATTTCAGAAAAGAGAATGGTTCTCAAAATAGAAAAGCCCTGTTCCTTGCTGCTCAATTCTCTGTCCTCAGGGTCTCCTGGAGTGATGCCCTGCCAATACTAAAAACAACAGCAAGTTGCTCTCCCATTTATATAGACATATTGTTCAGGAATTGCTGGGATTTTAATAAAAGGTTATCCTGTACAGTGTTTGATTTTCTTCCTCTGCTGCTTTCTCTCCCAGTTCAATATCAGATGGAAATGATGCGAAGCCTCCGCCATGTAAACATTGATCACCTTCACGTCGGCTGGTACCAGTCTACCTACTATGGCTCTTTTGTCACCCGCGCTCTCCTGGACTCCCAGTTCAGTTACCAGCATGCAATTGAGGAATCTGTCGTTCTCATTTACGGTCAGTGTGCTGCTTCCTGTATTATTCCTCCCTCCCTCCCTGCCCACCCGCTCCATCCCCATATTATTAAGGCTATTTTTGACTGCAATCTCTCTGCCTATAAGAGAGCAGTCCTGGCAGACCTTCTCCAAGTAAATACCAACCCTGTGTCTGCAGCAGCCTCAGCAGCAGCGAAGTCTAGACAGGGTTTCCTTCTTTCTGTTTATTTTTCTTGCTATCAGAGCCCTGAAGTGTACGTTTTGGAATGCCGGAGTAGCTGCTTCATTTTTATTCCTTGGGTCTCTCCCCTCCCCTTCTGGAAGGGGCTCGTGGAACTAGACCAGATGTCTTAACAAACTCTGCTCGCTAGAGCAGTCTGGCTCTGTACGTGACTGACCAATCATAATGCTGTTTGCCAAGGATTTTTTTTCTTCCTCCCCCTTTTTTTTATGCATCTGACAGAAGCGCACAAAACCTGGACTGTTTCGTAGCACAAAGATTTTTTTCTTTTCTGCTGATTTTTTTAATGGCATTTCCTCAAGCTCTCCAGACCAGATGTTCTGTGCTGTATCAGAACCGTAGGCAATTTAACAGCTTTATAGCCTTCCCCTCCCCAAACACTCACAGTATTGCCATATCTGGCAGGCTCGCGTAGAGTTTCCAGCTGAGAAGTAAATGTAATGTCCTGAGTATCTGTCAGAAAAAATACTAATGAATACGATCAATCTTATGAGCTGCCCTAAAATTGTTTCAGTATGTTAACAATTGGATTACAGTAAAGAACAAGTTGTTAAAGTATACTTATACTGGCTGGAAACATTGCATCATCAGAGCTTGATGAATTTTCCACTTGTTTCAGTCTATGTTGGTTTTCATTTTATCACTGATTGCTAAAGGTTTTACTATATCCCGTTTCAGACAACACAAATGTTAACGTCTTCTTCCTTTTTTAAAAGTTTACTATTTGGCAAGCCTCCTTCAGTTGTTATCTTGCTACAGATGTTCAGCTCCCTTGTCAATTACCTTTCCTTCACAAAGACTTTCCATTCTTAAATGTACAGTGTCAGGAATTATTTATACATTTTTTTTGATGCAACTGGAAGCATTTACCTAAATAAATCATTTCCTAATAGAATGCCAGGAGCTTGGCAGACCAGGTGTAGGTCCGAGTGCAGGACCCCATTAGGGCATCTCCCATTGTTTCTGTGCAGTTCTCAGAGATGTAGGAAACTGGTAACCACCTCCAGCTGTCCCAAGGTGCCCCACCAAGCCTTCTTCCTGGATAGGTTCCATACTCGGAGGTGAGGGTGCAGTATCAAATAAGGTTTATTTCAGCTTGGAACAAGTGGGGGCATAAACAGACAGCTTCAAACCTTAACAGTCACTACTCACCACATCAGGGATCCTTTGGGTGGAGAGGGTCCTACATTAAAGACGGTTTATAGCTACTGTAACCTCCCCCCTTACGATTGTTTCACCATCACCTTCCACCGCTGACAAGGGGACGTACGTGCATGGGTTGAAGGGTATGGGATATCAACCTCAGATAGCTTCAGTTCTGGGGGAGAACCTGCCTTCTTCCATCTTTTGTCTCTGCCTGTCCAGCATCATTCTCGCTATTCCCGCATGCCCCCAAAGGACAGTGTCTATGCTTGCTTTGCATCGCTTCATTTCCTCCTGTGGTACCTTGCAACTGAACAGTTTCTCCTGTCCATGGATTTTCCCTTCTCAGTCTTTCCTCATCTACTTGGTAGACACCATTTGGTGACAAGTCCCTCTGGCCTCTTCCTGAAAGGCCTCACACTCTGGGCCCTTCTTTGCCTCCTGCAAGCAGATCTCTTCCTCTTCCTTTCATTCCCTTTTATCCCTCACAAAGTTTCATTAGTTTTATGAATTACTGGCAAAAAAATAAGGGCAATTGCTACAGAATACTTCAATAAACGTGTACAATCAAATTTTATGAGAATTTTCCTTTGCAAAACATACATCTTTAAGGTTTGTATCTTGTAAACGACAGGAGGGATCAACTTCAAATAAAAAAGCAGGAATTATTTCCTTTTAAGGAAGGAATGGTAGACTTTTGGGGGGGAAAAAACACTACTGAATGCACTATGAGACAGAAGAAAATGGTTGCAAAAGGAGATTGGAGCTGGGGGCTGGGTAGGAAGATGTTTTTTTTAAAAGCTGAAATTAGAACTTTTAAAAATACTTGGCCAGCCTTTTCCAAAGTTGGCACAAATTAAGCCCATACTGTTTATTCCCACTCTGCCAAATATGGTCCTGATTAGGGAACTCATTTGAAAGTTACAACTTTTGTTTCGACTGCTCCCTCCTATTAGTAATGGCTTCCAGAATGCTGTTTTGCTCACTCATACGATATCAGAGGTGCAGTCTTGTGCAGCTCTAATGTAACATCATACATAGATATTGAGATCATGATAGCTTGACTCTGGTTCATTCACATGGCGATGAAGGCTGCAGTCACATTTCATCACAGCACTAGTAGATGAGTTTTTACAGTGCACTTTGATAGATCTTTTTCACAATTACATTTTTCCTATTGAAGGAGCATCTGTCTTTAAAAGGAATTTTGCCATAATAGTAAAATGGTATTGTTGGACTCCAAAAGGTTGCACAATTCAATTTTCTAGCAGTATTTTGAAATACCACCTCCTTTTTTGGCATTTGGTGCTGCTCATCCATTGGACTTTAATTTATACTGAGTGCCACCTTGCTTCTGGACACAATTCAAGGTGTTTGTTGTTGCCTTTAATTCTCTGTGTGAGAAAGTCCCAGCATTCTTTTACATGCTATTTTCTCAGATTTTGCCAGAAATGTGTTTGTCCAGGTCTACACTCTGTGGGAGGTAGCTATATAAGAAATCCAGTTACTGTGAGGGGAAAAGTCCAGTGCAAATTTTCCTGGTTGTGCACTAGCTCCTATAGAATTCTCTACCCAAGAAGTCTGCATTATATTTTTTGTTCTTTTGTGTTCTTTGTTTAGAATTTTGGATTTTGCTGTTTATTTGATAAAGCCACTTTACTTACGTTACTGGGTAGCATATAAAATGGTTGTTGATTTTGCTGATGTTCATTGAAGTATCTGTTTCCATAGTTGCTTATTGTTTGATTTTTTGGATGTTTTTCGTCTACTGCTTTGAGCCTTGATAAAGCAGATTAGATATTTGAAGAATGTATATATTTTATACCCTTTGAATGCCTCCTTGAAGCTGCAGCTTTGTTGACTGCCTTCTTTAAAAAATCATGTAGTTGTTTGCTCAGATTAAAAATGGCCCAGTCTAGAGTGTTCAGGCTAAAATGTTGTGGATAAATATTTTATACATTTTGTGGTTTTCCCCTTGTTTTTTCTCAGATCCCATAAAAACTGCCCAAGGATATCTTTCACTAAAGGCTTACAGGTTGACACCTAAATTGATGGAGGTTTGCAAGGAGAAGGATTTCTCTCCAGAAGCGTAAGTATGAGGGGATGTTTTGGTATGTCGGTGGCAGAAAGAGAGTGCAAGTAGATTAATTCATTTGTGACAAAGCCTGTGTGGAAGTCTGCTTTGTGGTTGCTATGACATGTATGCTTTGGAGCCTGTACCAATGTTAGGGTAAAGAAGCAGCATTTACTTCACTACCAACATGAGTAGTACTCAGCCATCCCAAATGGAAGGTGATTGTTAATGGCAGTGAATTTGAATGTTAAAAAAGAGAAAGCCTACGAGTTTGAGTCTAACTCTTGTATTGGTTGCCAAGGTGTCTCTCTCTGTTAACTGTCCTTAAGTACGTATGTTCCAGAATCCATGCTGGAATAATACCTTTATTAAACTGAATAAAAGGGCACAGAATGTGAAAGCTTATGAGTAGATATGGGGGTATTTGTATTCATATATGAGTACAGACATCCCCCCACAGGTGCAGATAATGAGGATCCGGCCCCCTGGGGCCAGACCGACCACTCACCATTCCACCGCTGCTGTGGGCTCCATGCTTCCTTCCTATCATTCTGGAGCTCGCAGTGGATTAGCCATTCCTGGCAGAAGGCGGGATGACGAGCCTCTCTGCCAAGTCGAAGAGTGGCTAATCCATTGCGACCTCAGGAGTGATGGCAAGGGAATGCAGAGCCCGCGGCAGCTGCGGAAAGGTGAGTGGTCAGTCTGGCCCCAGGGGGCCAGACCCTCATTATCTGCACCTGCGGAGGGATATTCGTATACAAATACTTTTGAGATCTCTTTGTCAGGAGAGATGCTTCAAGAATAAGATGAGATGGAAAAGTAGATAGAAAGGCCTAATCCCATGTAGTGTAATGATACGGAGGATGAAGGCTCTGCAGACATCCAGATGATGTATTTAGGATGGGATAGTGTTAACTTCCACCCAGAGTAAAGAAACTCTTAGGTTTTTAGGTCGCTTTTCACCCCTACTCAAATTTATATCTACTGGGAGCTGGAAGGTTGGAGAAGCTTGATCCTTGCTTGTACTAGCACTAATGTACAAGGTAATGAACAAGATCAATATAGGTAAATGCTTGAAGTTACATTCTGCGGTCTTGTGCATTATTTGTTTATGAGTAGGTCTTGAAATATTGAGCATTGTTCCTCATCATGTTTGTTGTTTGATTTCTATATCGCCCCATAGTGCTAGAGCACGCTCGGGTGGTTTACAACAAAATTATGCAAGGAACACTTTGCCCCTCAGCAAGCTAAGTACTTACTTTACAATCTCAGAAGGATAGAAGGCTTAGTCAGTCTTGAGCCAGCTACCTGAATTTATTGGGATCACACTCAGATTGTGAGCAGAGACTTGACAGCAATACTGCAGTTTAATCACTGTGCCACACGGGATCGATCTCAGATTGTGAGCAGAGACTTGCAGTTTAATCACTGTGCCACAATTCTCCTTCTATTTGCAAATGACAGGTTGCCCCAAAGTACTGTCATAAAGACTTTCAGGGAAGTCTTTTGTTCCAATTAAGACAGATCTTTCCCATGTTTGGAGGCAGACATCTTGGATTGATGGCTCAATGCCTTTTAAGTATCTTTACCAAGAAATGTCCTCCACTACCCCATCTGTGCTAAAAAGTTGGCATTCCTTGCCATTCCATTGGGTCTGTACCCAAATATGGTGATTTTTCACTATATGCAACCAATCCATTTTAAGGACCCCAAAGGTCATCAAGTCCAGATGACTCTTGCTATCTTAATATCCCGCCAGTCACTCCATTGAAGAGCCCAGGTATCACTAGGATAGAAACAAGAAGCCCACTTTTTTCAGAGAAGGCTATTGTAGCGAACAGCCCTGCCCTGACCTGTCCGTCACAGCGTAACAGGGGAGAAGGAGCCAATGAGAGGACGGAATGCGGAGTCAAGAGGGGAGGAAGCTGGATATACAGGCTGGTGTATGGAGTATGAGAGAGATTCTGGTAGTGAGAGACAGTGTGAAACTTAAGAGTGAACTAAGAGTGAGTTAGAAATCTGTAAGAACGCTGAATGGAACAGAGAGTTGATAGAGCTTTAAAGTTAAAGTAAAATTGATTCTAATACAAGTGAATAGCAACCTGTGATTTACCTACTGTATATTAATCAGATGTTAACTTCCCTGATCTAATAAATGAGTTAAGTTTCAAAAGTACACATGTCTCCTTGAGTGAATGGTACTGAGACAGCAATACCTGGTGGCAGCGAAGAAAGAAGAAGGGCGAGAACCTCGTGAAGACCTGGGGGAATAGGGGCTTCAGGGGAAATCGCCACAGATATGTTTATGATTTATGAAAATGCTGTGTCCCATCTTGACTATTTCTGTCTGTCTCACCACTGGTGCATGTTCAATGGTACTAAGTGGTTGAGAATCTCTGTCTAAGGTTTCATAGTCTAAACTAAATTAAACATTTTAAGGAAAAATCTTGATGTTAATCCCATGTGAAATCTATTGATAAGTATGTTTTCTTAAATCATTTTCACTTCCCCCCCCAAAAAAAAACGATGATGTTTTTTCACTGGACGTTTCAAAAATTTAGTATCAGTGGTTTAGGTCTCTGGCTGCAGAGCCAGAGGTTGGGAGTTTGATTCCCCACTGTGTGCCATGGACAGGAACTGGATGTGATGATACAGAAGATCTTTTCCAGCTCTGCAGTTCTAAGATGATGATAATGGTGATGATGATGATTAATCACGAGGTGCAGCTGCTTTCTTTTCTTTACTTTAAAAAAGGTATTTCCCCCCTTAACCAATCATGGCCAGCTTGTGTTTAACTGTTCAGCATTAAAGAGATCTTTTCCCCAAAGGGAAACTCAATTAGTGCTCTTGCCACTTACCGTCAAAATCCATTTTTATTTCCATCCTCAAATACAAACTGATGATTTTTTTCCTGCAGTGTTTTAAAAGGTGGAACCAACACGTCACTCTCCAATTTGTGAAACAAATATTTGCATAAGTACCTTTTACTCACATCCAGACCCAACAAATTGCCCCTTTCTTTCAGAGTCAGGGAGTTATCCAGGCTTAAACAAAAACAGATCCTGAAAACCTGAAAGATAATAAAAGCAAAAAGAGAAAAAAAAGACACAGATGGGGAGGTAGAAATAATCATTTGAGAACATGCTTTCTGTTTGGAACTTTCAGAAAGAAACCACCACCACCTTTCCCGGGGGGGGGGATATTTTCTTTCAAAGTACTAATAATATTTTGTGATGAAATATTGGAGAAGGGACTGATTGGAAGGGCTGAAAAATGGCTTGTGAATGCAAAGTTTGATTGATGGTCACAGTCTACATAGAGTTCAACTACTGGTGCATAAAACTCATTTCACTTACCTGTAAGGTGGTACTGGTTTGGGGGTGTCTGATGTTAGGAATCAGGAGCAAATTTCCCCCCCCCCCAGCCAAACCTGATCCCTTGAAGGAGTACCATTTGGCCATTCTGGGAATGTATAAGGGATAGTATTGGCACCATCAGGCCAAGTAATAGAATATCCACTTGGAAAAGTACATGGACAATAATTCAATTCAGTTTTATACCAGAAACCTTTCAAGTATCGTCATAAAAGGTTTTTAATTAAATATAAGAACCTGATGCCCTGTGAATATTGGTGGAGAATCAGACCAGGATAGTGTTCCACAGTGCAAGGATAGTAGAGAGTGACTACTGAAAAACTATTATTTTCAAATCACGCCTTCATATTGATTCATCACTTAAGGAATATTTCCAAGTGAATCCCACAATTTTGTTGATGTTATATTACGTGGAAGCATTTCCAACCTTGCTGTTCACCAGCAAGTTCATCTAGAGACAAGTTACTAGAGAAGTTTTAGGATGATATTCTAAATAATAATATTAGAAATAATATTTTAAAACTGACAGTGAGTACAATAAACTTGTTCTGATAGATTAAAGTTAAAAACTGAAATCTGTAAGTCTTTGGGGGGAAAATCATTTTTTATTCAGCAGCAAAAAGACAGCATACTTGCTACCATTATCAGCTGCATTTCGTGATTAATCACCATCACCACCATTATCATCAGCTGGAAGAAACCCTCTGTTACTTAGAAGTGTGTTTCAAAGCTGAGGCTCTAACATAGACAAAGCCTGGTTGAAAAAGTCCAGTTCAGGCATATGCACATATGTAAATATTTAGTTTTACAGAGCATTGTCAAGGTCTGCTGGGTCTTGTAGTGGCTAAAAGGACTGTAATCCAGCTAGAGCACACACAATTCACTGGTGAAAATCCCATTAGTTATGGGCCATGGGATGGCCTTTCAGTGGTAAGCAAACGGGTTTTCCATCATTACTGATTTCCTTATTTTAAAAATCCTTGTTAAGCTTTAAGGGGAACTAAGGATTCCCAGAACATAGTTTGAAAACTACTCGCTCCGTTTTGCAGTACAGTGGTGCCTCGCTTGACGACATTAACCTGTTCCAGCGAAATTGTCATCAAGCGTGGAAAAAAACCCATTGAAAACTACTCAGTGCGTTCCAATGGGCTAAATACCTAATCTTCCAGCGAAGATCCTCCATAGGGCGGCCATTTTCTGGTGCCTGTAATGCAAGGAATCCGTCCTAAGCACAGTGGGGAGCCATTTTAAACAGTGGGTGGCCATTTTGAAACCCGACAATCAGCTGCTTTCTGATCGTTGTAAAGCGAAGAATCTGTTCCCGAAGCAGGGAACCGATCGTCGGGAAGCAAAAAAAGCCCTTTGAAACATTGTTTTGCGATCGTCCTTTCACAGAGGATTCCTTCTTCCTCATACCTTTTGGAAGAATTTTGCATGCTGCTAGCTAGCTATGTCTGTCTGTCTGTCTGTCTGTCTGTCTGTCTGTCTGTCTGTCTATCTATCATGAGCATGCAAAATTCTTAATATATATATATTAAGAAAAAAGTTTTAGATACTTTCCCCTACGTTTGTTTTAAAAATCAAAATGTTCTCCAATTTGGAAGAATGACTCAAACAGCCTGGGCTGTTCAGAATCACCTTCTGAGGATTTTGCTGGATGATGATTAAGTTCTCAAGAAAGTAAGTGCACTGCCTAGCTAAAAAAGCCTCTCATTTCAGGTTGAAAAAAGCAAACATCACCTTTGAAAATATGTTTGAGGAAGTGCCCATCATAATCAAGAATTCCTACCTTATTAATGTTCTCCTCTGGGAGCTAGAGAAGAAGTCTGCGATAGCTGATAGACATGAGTTGCTCAGTCTTGCAAGCAGGTAAGTTCTCATTTGAAATAAAAATGCAATATAATACATATATCCATTTCATTATAGGCCTTTGTTTAAAGGCATCCTATAAGCTTGAGGACAGACATACTAGTTCACTGGACCAAACATTGTGTGTATTGGAGTAGATGAGTGAGAAGTTTTTGGCTTACATAGTTAATTGAAATCTTGGCAAATCACCTGTGTTGTGCACATTTAGAATTTCCATGTGAAGAGTATCAATACTCCATGTTTTAGATCTGTAGGAAGCATTGCAAACAAAACTCACCCAGTCTCATACCCTCAAAGATAAGCTTTATGTCTCTAGTTTGTACCTCACATGTATCTTGTTCTCAATGCATTTTTCCCTAGATTTATGTTTAATTTTGTAGACTTGTATGGTGGCAACTGTGGTAGTAAACTAAAGTAGCTAAAATCCATAAATTCACCTTGGCATTTGGGATATTATTTCTATATTTTCTAACTCATACCAGTTGACTCAGTGTGATGCATATTAGACACATAATGGGTGCAGAGTTGTGCAGCCGCTGCCTTCCACCAGAGAATTTTTGCTTATGATTTTCACCTTAGGAAGCTGCTTACTCAAGAGTCATTGACAGATTAACTTTTTTCCATTTTAGAGTTTTCTTGACCCTTTTTATTCAAAGTTGTGTTCAGGAATGTTTTACAACATGAGTCTGCATAGAACAATTATGTCCCTTCAGCCCTCATATCTCTGACCAGTTAAGAAAAATGTTTTATTTTTCTTCTTTAAAAAGTCATCTTCTAGCAACTGGACATGTGTGGTCAGTATTTTGTTCTATTTTGCTTTGTTTTATTTTTGTCACTAAAGGAAGGGGGACGTGTGGGAGCAGATCTGACTTTTCAAGATCTAGGAATGGGTGTAGCTCCTATACATTTGGCAGTTGCTCATCTCTTTTTCACATCCAAAAAAGCTATCACAAGCCTGGGTTGTACATGCAAACGCTCAATAACTCATTTGTAGCAATGTGTTTTTATTCCTCAAAGGGTGCAAGCCAGCACTGGCACATGGTGGCAAACTGTGGATATATTACTCCTGTAAATAATAAGTATGGTCACATTCTCTCAGTTGCCACCATATGCGTCTTCCTTTTTCATTGGTGTGAAAGGTGTCACCTGTCATTTCCAGGGGAAAATGAATGGACAATGGATTTTAATAACAGTTTTATGATACAGAATCCTGCCCTAATTTACACCACAGAAAATCCTGTAAAGCGGCACTCCATTGCCAGTCCTTTTTCCTCACATATTCTGCCTACAAAATAGTAAGCACCTGTGGGAGCCATGAATCTTTCAAGGGCCTTGATCTCCATCATTTCCATCCAAGCCCAGTAGTTGCTCTCTGATATAAATTATTAAAGGCTCCCATGACTCTGAACATCATCAGAAATAATAACTAACATTGATTGTTTATAAAACTTGGATGCAGTAGAGTCAATTAAGTTAATAAGGACAACCGCTACCCAAAACACTTTTTTGAAAAAGACAATTAAGGATAAGGAAGAGCAGGCTGGATTTTTGCTGTTTGTTTGAGGTTGTCTCTTGAAGAGCAAAAGTACCACTAAAAAACTTCCAGTCATTAACTTTAGCAGTGTCAAGAATTATCTGGTGGGCTGAAAAGGAGACTGTTTTTAAATGGAAATGCAGTATTAGACAATGAGAAACACTCTGGGCTACTTGTTCCTTTTGTACCTGGCTGTGTATACAAAGATATCTCAGCTCCAAGGCTGTACATAGGACCTAGAGCACAATTCACCCAAAGCAAAGTACTTGTAGCTCTCATTGATTACATTTGGAGGGGGTTAAGAGCAAGCATAGGTCTGTTGTTAAAATGAATGGGGTGGAAACTTGAGTGATGTTTAATGTGATACATGTTTTTCTACTAAGTTTCGAAGATCCATTATAAGTCATCTGTTTTCTTCCCTTCCATTTAAAATCTCATTGAATTTTTTATTTGTTTTTTTTAATTGACAGTTCATTATCTTAAGTGTCTTACTAACATAAAATAGGACCAATTTCATTTAGCTTTGCATCCCATTTAGTGCCTGGAGTCCCTCCTGCCAGATCTCTATGTATGTCGAATACAGTTTCATTAAATATTGTTCCAAAGCGAAAGCTATAAAAGAAATGAGTTCATGAAAAAAGGTTTCTAGTAGCAAGGGGATGGAAGACAACAGGTTGAAAAACAGGCATTTAAAATACTGAAGACAACAAAAACGATGTTCTTTTTCATGTCCTTTCTGCTTTGGACATTGAGTGGTACAAGAGGGATGAGTTCTACCCAGAATGGAAGGGTTCCATTGCCTGTGTGAAACATCAGATAAATACACAGGAAGGAGGCATACACAGTGATGCCTCCCATTCCTGCCTGAACTCATCCCTCTTGTACCCCTAACCATCCCCGTTGGAAAACACGTGAAGAAGAACAAATGAGCACACGTAGACCATCACAGTCATGTGCAAGGAGCTGAAATGCCAAGGAGTAATCCCACATTACTGTTGAAAAAATACACAAAGCTTCCTTCCCCACTATGGGTCCCTTCACACATTTTGGACTACAACTCCCATCATCTTTGACATTGGCCGTAGCACCTGTGACTTTGTCATCCAGTGCACCTACACAGAGTCATCATTGGTGCTTCGATTTGCTATTTGAAATGGTAACAGTTTTGGGAGAATGGTGGGAAAGAAATTTAATAGAGAAATAAAGGCATAGGTCACTTCAGAAGAGTGCTAGATAAATTTGTGGTGCATAATGCTATCAATGGTATTCAGCAAAAAGAAGCTTTCAAAGGTGTCTGAATCCTGATGTTGTGTGCCAAATGACTCTCATTAACAGCACTAATTTCTTAACTCCTGACAGTTCACTACCAACATGTGTATCGATTCCGTTATTGTCAACATTTAATAAATAAAATATTAATATGATTTTGACCAGCAATTTTTAAATACTGCCAACTAATTCTAAAACGTTTTACGAACATATGAAGAAGCATTTTGTTAATGACTCATCTCTCCTCAGTGCTTTCCGTTCCCAAATCCTTACCTCAAGAGGTCTTTGCCTATCTTAATTCAGGCTGCTTTTGGATGGTGTGAAATATGTATTACTCAATTGATTTCTATCTCACTCCCCCCCCTTTGCTAAGGAATTCCATGGTGCAGCTCGTAAAAAAATAATAGTCTCTTTGGACATTAGGAGGATGAAATTTGATACCTGCCATTGATGAAGCTTGGCTTTGTGACAGATGAGGAACTTGTGGCCTTGCCAGTGTTGCTGGGCTGTAGTTCCCAAAAAAACCCTGCCAAACCTCACTCTTAAAGTTCTAAAAAATGCACCCATTTTATTTTTTTTAGTATTACCATTCAAACTGTTTCCTTATTAGTGGAAGAGTTAACTAACCAGGAAATATCACAGGTGCTTTGTTAGATGATAATGTGCCTGGCTTTAAAATTTTTGTGAATTCAGAGCGAAGGATAAACCAGTTTTGCTGTAGGACGAAGATGCTGCCTACTCATGATAGTTGTAAATATTCCTGTGTTTCAGCAACCATCTTGGAAAGAGTCTGCAGTTGCTGATGGACAGAGTGGACGAGATGAGCCAGGACATTGTAAAATACAACACTTACCTAAGGAATACCAGCAAGCAACAGCAGCAGAAGCATCAGGTTGGTTTTCAGAGGCAGACTGTAGCACGTCGAGCTAAAGCATCATATTATGTGGCTTCCATAATTGGATGCAAATTGCAGGATCTTTATATTGCATCTCCTAAATATACATCCCAATTCAGAAAGCTAATCTTCCTCTTCTAGACATTCATTACATGCAAAAGTTGTGCTGAGACTCCTTCTAGCTCTTTTCCTTGCCAATATAAATTTTCAGGAGCAGCTATATGAGAAACGTAGAGATGGAAAAACTGATTAGAAGTGGGGAACTATAGTAGGGTTCCGCATCAATTTTTGCTAAATTTATAATTGCTGTAAAGTTGGTTCATTGCAGTGTAGTCTGTTTATTATATGTAGATATGGAACAGTTCTGTGACGAACCAAACTATTTCAGTAAATAATGCATCTACTCATTGCAGAGTGTAAGAGTACGTTTACCAGATAACTATCTTTTGCTTTCTGTCTACTCATCAGTTTCTCTCAATTTCTTTCCTACTTTATGAGATAACAGAAATTACATCTTGATTTTTACTAACATTTCCTAAATCTGGATGTATTTTGGCTTTGCTATCAGGCATTAGAATGTCACCATTTTTTTTACTTAACAGCTAGACACTTAAGAAAACTTGTGTTGCTGGATTTTAAAATGTTTGCCATTTGAGTAGCAAAAGACTTCACACAAGCTCCTCTCTCACTTAAGAAGACACTTCTATAATTCTGTTCCCCTTCTTCTCCTGAATAACTCGTAATAATAGATTACTGTTCTTTGAAGGTTAAATGATTAAGAATACACATTAGGTTGAATTGTATTCCTTTCTACCAGACATAGCTTAAGAAAATGTATCTGAATATGTTAACTCAGTTCCTGATGGAACTAATGAAAACCTATCACAGTTGCTCACTCTTCCTCAAATGGCAGGCAGACCATGTGATTTGTTACTTAACCTCCCTTTCTTCCAGTGAGTGTAACTGTAGTGTTCCTCATGCCCTTCTCCATTGAAAAAATAACCTTATGCTGAAAGATGGGTACTAACCCAAAGTTACCCAATACGTTTAATGGCTTAAATGGCAGCTTACACTTGGCTGTCCAGAAAATGTCACCCTGGTTCACTTCTCTCCTGCTACCAACCTCATTGACTCATTGCATAAGTTGAAATGTGACAATCTTGGGGAATGGTGTGTTTGTTCTGGTACTCTCTCTCTCTCTTTAATGCCCTTCTCCTTCTCTAGCATTAATCTCAATATTTTGCCTCCTGACCTTACATTTCATGTTCTGGATTGAAGTTCTTCTTCCTGGCCTCTGCATTCCCCCACAATGAGAAGAGTCCATATTATATGTGGAAAGTTACTGGAGACGTATTGAAGACCAAATTACGTTCTAGAAAAATAATGATGTACCTGGATTATTAATCAGAACATGACTGTTGAAATATGTGGAATCCATTTTGAATGTTGAAAGCTTTAATCTTTCAAACCTGTTAAAATCCAAGGATTGGTTGTTGGGAGTGCTAGTTCTGGAAGCTGCTCATTAGAGCCTCTTTGGAACAATCCCCTTGTGCTTCAGAAGCATCTGGAGCAGAGCTTGGAGCAGTTCATTTTTTAGATGGTGGGAGCTATGGTCCAAAAAGAGTAACTTTCCCAGGTTTTGCTTTGGAACTGTGCTAAAGTCTGTCAAGCTGCCAGTACAGGACCATCTCTACAAATTCCAGGTCTTCTTTATATAGGATGAGTTTCTTTCTTGCTGTTTTTTAAAATTTCTAGCCATCCATTTCCTTTGGGCAGTTGTTGTGAGGTTAGCCAGTTAAATGGACTGAAACGTCCTTATTCCGTAGGGAGAAAAACAACAACCCTGTCTTTGAACCCCAGTGGCAATTCTATAAAACACAGTGTTGTGTTTCTTCTCCCAGATAGCTTTGAAATTTTTGAAAGCTAGGTCAGTTTCATGACGTGAACTAAACCACTTAAAGTCAACTCCTTCACATTCTTGGTATGAACCGTGAAGATTCCCTTTGGATCTGATAGCCTGTCTTTGCCTTTCTGTTTGTTTTCAGTACCAGCAGAGACGTCAGCAAGAAAACATGCAGCGTCAAAGTCGAGGAGAAGCACCTCTTCCTGAAGAGGACTTGAACAAATTGTTCAAGCCACCACAGCCTCCTCCCAGGATGGAATCACTGTTGATTGCAGGTAATGGTCCAGAGGGAGGTTAGGAACCTTTCCCTTTCTGTGGCTCTGGAGGTCTATTGTACATCATCTGTAAACACGAGATGGATAGGTGGTGTCTTCTGTGCTATGCAACAGGCTGCATCTGAGGCTTTTTTGTTTTGCTTTGTTTTTTCAGACATCCATGGTCAGCAATTCCTGCTTTTTAAGGTCAGCTTAAAAAGCAAGATCTGTGTTACATCCAAATAGGAATGGTAAAAGCCAGTGTGTGGTGTGTCTCTGCCTTACTTCATTTCATATTCCATCTCAAGGCAACATGTGAAGGCTGCTTAGGAAGTCTTCTATCTAGTCACTGAGTGGGTCCAGACTTGCTGAACGTCACTGGCCAGGTTGCATCACATACCTTCAGACCGTGCCCTGGAAATACATATTTGAGTTTCAGTCCCAAATTAGGTATGGCAGGTCATTGAAACGTTTTCAGATCTAGTTGTCCTCATGCCAGATTTGTTTCCAGAAGGCATTGTGTATCAATATCAATGCCTTGGGTCACTCTCACTTATGCGGCTATTTGGCTGAACCTGTTAGATTTCAGATGAAACACAGAGCTCTTCATTATATGCCAAAGTTAATTGGCTTGAAAAATGAGAGTGATAAATGTGGTGAATGTTGTCCTTTTGAAAAGAAATACTTTGCCCTTTTAAAGAACCCCAGAAACCGAGGACAAGGTAGAGAGACTAAAGATGTGCTATGAAATGGAAGTACAATGGACAGATGAGTCCTGAAGCATTTTCATGCCTCAGATAACACTTCTTGCCGTCAGTTGCATCCACAGCTTGAGATTTACTTATACAAGGTCCTTCTGTTTAAAGGCCTTTTGCCCTTCTCCCAAGATGGTTAATAAGCATAAGGTAAAGGTAAAGGTTCCCCTTGACAATTTTTGTCCAGTCGTGTTCGACTCTAGGGGGCGATGCTTATCCCCATTTCCAAGCCATGGAGCCAGCGTTTTGTCCAACGACAATCTTCCGTGGTCACATGGCCAGTGCAACTTAGACACGGAACACTGCTACCTTCCCACCGAGGTGGTCCCTATTGATCTACTTGCATTTGCATGCTTTCGAACCGCTAGGTTGGCGGGACCTGGGACAAAGCGATGGGAGCTCACTCCGTCGCGTGGATTCGATCTTACGACTGCTGGTCTTCTGACCCTGCAGCACAGGCTTCTGCGGTTTATCCCACAGTGCCACAGTTAATGGTAATACATCAATGGCAGAATTTGCAACATAATTTCATGTGCACAAAAACTGCAGCTACTCAAATGATACAAGCAGGAGGCACTGCCACTGGAAGAAATCATATGGTTCCTATACTTTTCGGCAGTTTGTGAATTGGTATGGTTTGAGTTCTGGCAATGAATCATCCCAGCAATTCAGTACATGTTAAAGGGAGAACAAGAAAAGCACTCTAGTGACGTGTTCCCACTTTTTCAATTATGTTGCAGTTTCATAGCTGTGTTCTTACGGGTCACAGTTCGACTGTCTTTCCAGAGTTAGGGAAAGGAACAGTCAGTTTAAGCTCCAGCAGCCTTCAGCCAAAATGTTTTTTTCCTTTTCAGCAGAGTCAGGAAAAAACCTGAAAGCATTCACTGTTTTAATTCACACAGAATTAAGTTGAGGATCAAAGCTGAAACTTGGCTGGTTTTGCCTCTGAGGCATTTAAAAACGGCATTTAAAAACCTTTCTTGTCTCTCTCTGTGTTTTTTTAAGTAGAGCATTAAATTGAAAGTATACTGGTCTGCTAAGCAGTTTTAACTTTGATAATGTGGACATCTCTTTGCTGCTCCTGACCAACAAAGCAAACGAATTATAGTGGCAGAATGTGTATAAAAATGGGGTGACTACAGGTTTTTGATTTTTATAGCACTGTGGACACCATTCTTACAACCTGCTGAGGTGAAACCTTGACCCACAAATCTGGACAAGGCTGTCAGTGTTGTAAATCCCACAACAGAAACCAATGGGATGTGAATATTTCTTGTCACACCTTACCAGAAAATTCCTGTAATATATTATACAATTTATTATACAGAGGGAAAAGCAAAACAAGCCACCTGTTTATCCCAGTGTCCCACGTGCAAGCAGAGTTTGCCCTCAGCCCAGCTTTCATCCTGCTTACTTTACCTCATGAAAATCAATATGCTGTTTTAGGTTCCATCTCATGGTTATGCAAAATTGTGACAAGGCGTTGAGAGAATGGGGTATGTTAGAAATTAGCTTTTTGTTGGATTGGTAGCTTAAATAGAAACTTTTTTTTCCAGATCAAAGAAGTCAGCTTTTTAATTTTTCTCTGCTTTCACCCTGCTCCTTCCTTTTGTTTGTTCTTCTGCAGGTCAAATTAACACTTACAGCCAGAACGTCAAGGAGTTAACTGCACAGAACCTCGGCAAGCTCTTCATGGCTCAGGCACTTCAACAGCACAACAGCTAGGGGAGATGATGAGGTGCTTCTCATACCCTGCCCAGCAAGGAGATGCTCCAAAATTTAGTTCATTTTTGCATAAGTTGTTTTCCATTGCTCGTTGTAAAATGAACTATGAACTAGATTCTTCTGTGTTTTGAATAGAGTTATCTCTCTTCTAAAAGAAAATAAAGAAGCAACCAATTAAAAGTGTTTAGCGTGTGCTTATTGACTGTTGGACAGCTGTCTGCATATTTCTTATGACTGCAGGCTGTTAACGTGCATGCTAGTGTTTTGTCTACCAGATTGCTTTGTAATAGAGACCTTAAACGTCATTTCCAATGGGGGCGGCGGGAAGTCTTTCATGTTATGCAATGACAAAGGTGGCTTCACAAAAGAAATACCTTCTTTGGAGAATGTTACTCAGCCGAGGCTGCTTCTGAGCTGAATTTCCCATTTTACTGCTAGAAACTGAGGGAGCAGGCACATCTTTTGAGAACCAAGTGTGAGATCTAAATTGGATGCACTCTTGGGAGAGTTGTGAATCAGATTTCCAAATGTGATTGAGGCCTTGATTTGAATCAGAGCCATAGTGCTGGAAAAATAGGGGTGGTGCTAGTTCTGTAAATCATATAAGTTTGTTACCCTCTGAATGCTTCCAACTAGAATTTCTCCACCACTTAACTGTTGGCCATGCTGGGTATGACTATGGTGAATTGTAGGCCAAAATATTGGGAGAGTCAAATTCCCTTACATGTTGTAAATCTTCTCCTGTGGACCAAGTAGCAGTTTTGAGAATGAGAGAGAGAGAGAGAGAGAAAGTTTTGAGAATGAGAGAGAGAGATGAACAGGATAATGGTTGTGGGCAAAAAGTCACCCACCAAACACCATTGCCCTGTTCAGTCATTGCCAGTTGTTATCAACTGGGGAAGCAGCTAGTCCCTCCCCTCATAACTTTTTCCATGTACAGAATGATGTGTCTGACAAAAAGAAACTCCTCTGGTTGTTTGTTGAATCTAAATGCAAGCAAGTACCAGATTTTCCAGTGTTAGAGGCTACACATAATCAGAAATTTCACTTGAGTAATGACCAAATAGGGCTCATGACTTGTATCTGAATTCTCTCTGTCTCTCTCTGTCTCTCTCTCTCTCACACACACACACACACAGAGAGAGAGAGAGAGGCATTTAACAGTTTTAATAAAGAAGCCATCCTCATTTCATGTCATTTTGTTCTTAAGATAAGACTACACTTATCAGTGATCACATGCTATTTTCTTAGATAGGGTTTTAGACTGTTGCCATGGTTGTTTAACAGAAGTGAATGGTAAAATGTCACAAGTGGTTTTAACGTTTGAAATTCTCTGTCCATTCAGACACCTTTCCTCTGATTTAGTGACACATGAACAAAACTGGATTGGTAGTTAGTCATAGATTTTTCTCTGGAAATACATATATTGGGGGAAAACTAGTAATCAGTGAAGGGAAAGAATTGTTCAGTGTACATTTATTATCCGGTTGTTTTTGAAGGGGGGACAGATATTTTACATTGGGGAAAATCACATTATTTTCAGCTGAAAATGTTAAAGGGGGATTAATTCAAATTCTGAACACGACAACTGTACAGATTGAGGAGAGGTAGGGAGTGGTTTTAGACAGAGAAATTTAGGAGATTCTAAAATCCAGTTGTTAGAACCACATCCTGGCTCTTTCTCTTCCCCACTTCTCCCTGCCTTTCCTTTAGAGATTGTTCACGTTATGTAAATAGATATGTAAATTGTTTGCAAACCTCGGAATTTGGCAAAATGTCAACGCAGACCATAGAATTTCAAAATTAAGAATAGTCGTGGGACTTGTTTCTGAATCTTGCTTATCCGAACTCTTGAATCTAATGAAGCATCTTGTTACACCACACAATAAGTGAGTGCAGTGAATGCCACATTCTACGTAAATTACGTTCAGGAGCCTTGATCTAAATTCTTACACATTTGGCAAGCAGTTCATGCATGTATTCTAGAAAACCAAAGATCCAGTAGTGTATAAAGAACTGGAACAAATCTTATCAATACATAGGCAGAAACATCATCTTCTGATACCTGTGTGGAAGACGACCATACTTGTATAACAGCCATCTTTAACCTAGTAGTCCAACACATACCAATGTGCTGGGCTACAATTTCCATGATCTCCAGTCATTAACACCCATGTGGTTGGGGATGATCGCTGCAAAGGTATAATTTGTATGTAGTGTATTAACAAACTGTATCTTAAGGTTAATCAGCACAAGAGACAATAAAATGTGGATGCTGTGACCATACAAGATTGTTGGACAGTTTCATTGAAGTGACCAGCATGAATCTGACTCAACTCCGGGAGGCAGTGGAAAACAGGAGGGCCTGGCGTACAACAACAGGTTGGGGATGATCGCTGCAAAGGTATAATTTGTATGTAGTGTATTAACAAACTGTATCTTAAGGTTAATCAGCACAAGAGACAATAAAATGTGGATGCTGTGACCATACAAGATTGTTGGACGTTGATTAGTGACCATACAAGATTGTTGGACAGTTTCATTGAAGTGACCAACATGAATCTGACTCAACTCCGGGAGGCAGTGGAAAACAGGAGGGCCTGGCGTGCTCTGGTCCATGGGATCACGAAGAGTCGGACACGACTAAATGACTAAACAACAACAACAAGATGTTCAAAGAAGTGGGATCTGTACAGAGAGAATTTTGTAGGCAGATGCTGGGCTAGTGATTTCTGCAGCCGCATATCAGCAATATAGATAAAATGCAGGCAACACATACGCAGATGCATATAGACACACTCTATCTTGAAAGAGAGCTACACCAAGGGTTTCAGTAAAACAGGAAAAATTCTTAACAGCAAGAACTTTTCAACCATGGAATAGACTTGTCTCAGAGGATGGTGGTCTCTCCTTTGGACGTTTCTAATTAGAGACTGGCGAACCATCTGCCTTTAACCTCAGATTTCCTGCATCGCCAGGAGGCTGGACTATATGGCCCATAGTATGCTCCCAACTCTACAGTTCTGTGACTCTATTTTTTTTTGTTTTATTTGTGATTCTATATTAATTTTTGTTAAAAGCAGTGTTCGTTTGACAACTTTGCATTGCAGCCAGCATACATGATGCCAGTAATAATAATACCCATCGTAGCAGGACTCACTGGGTTGTCCAGACTCCGGACTATGCATCTGTAGCCATCTAAGCGTGGAAGGCCAAACATGCCACCAACCTAGAGTCTTCCAAAGGACCAAAGTATTAGCTCAGTTTTCAACCTATGGGAAGGTTAAGTTCATGCTTGTCAGTTTTATTGATGCACTCAAGATGGAATCCCATCCATCGAATGCAGGATATACTGGGTGCTGGAGTATAACGTTCCACAAAATGTTACATATATTAATGGGAGAAACAGTCATTTGAAGGGCTAATGCATCATATCAATGTGGAGAGTTTTTCAAGTTCAGCAACTTAGGGGTGGGGCTGTGCGTCGAAAAGGAAAGAAAACCTAAATTCTTTTTGCAGGCTTTTTTATTTTATGAATTAAAAGCTGCCGGTCTTTCACTTTGCATTTAAGTGGACAAGAGTCTTGTTTAGCTCTTGTTTATTTTGCCTGACACAATGATAGGTCTTTAATACCATCATAAAAAAGCCATTTGATCATTTTTTCCACATTTAAACCCGTTCTGTGACTGCTTTGGCCACTGCCTGGAAAAAAAAATCATATTACCTAGGATATTTTACCAAAATCATTCATATACAGCTCTTCCCCACCTTAAGTGCTAATAATGCAGGCACCAAGCAAAAATAATCCCATCTTTTCGTAAAAGCCATTAAAGCCTAATGGAAAAAAGATATACAAGAACAATGTAAAAGTCTATCTTATTATTCTGGTTGTATTCTGCCACTTTATATCCATGTCTTGATCCTGCAGCAGCTATTTTGAATGGCTGGACATCAGTCCAGCAAGATGGATAGCTTGGGAAATTTCATTGCTTGGCCTATTAAGTCCTGAATTCCATGGCCATGCTGGCTGGTAAAATCTGGGAATTATAGCCATAGTTCAAAAAAGTAACTTTCCAAAGTTCTAAAGGTGTCTTCTGCACACTTTTATTGTATGAAACCCTGTGAATAAACCAAGTTAGTAAAACTTGTGTGGAGCCTGAATTGGTAACCGGTATTCCACAGACAAAATCACATGGCTGCAATCCTTTACGTCGTAACCGGAGGGTAAGGCTCCTTGCAGAGAGTTGTACTGTGGATTGTTGAACAGCAGGACCATTATTTTGAGACAGCTAACTTGCAATAGGTGCTTACAGAGATGTCAGTGTGTACACACTCTTGTGTGTCTGTACATGGATGCATGCAGACATGCTAGGCATGCATACATGCTAGAAAGATATATTTATGTATTTGATTAACTGATGCCCAGTTGTGTAGTTGCAAATTCACAAATACAGGGTTCTTCTATGAGACTTATGAGTCTATGAGACACAGTTCCCATGTGTGTGCCCCTTCATTCCTGAGTGCACATGCACTCCAAATTATAAGTTATCTGTAACTACCTGGAGGCAAGGAAAGCAGGAATCCATTGGGACGAATTGGAGAAGCTGCCATCAACAGCCAGTCCTCTACTACTCCTTACAAATCTTATAAAATGCACGGGCAGAGTGGGAGCGGTGATAGCTGCCAGGGGAGAAGGAGAGGAGCAAAGTTTTCCAAGTCATAGTGCTCTAACAGTTAAGACGTTTTTCCTGATATTCACCCTAAATCTGGTTTGCTGTAGCTTGAGCCCATTATTACGTGTCCTGCACTTGGGTTTAACAAGAACAGATCCTGCCCCTCCTCTGCCTTTCAAGTATTTGAAAAGTGCAGTCATATCTCCTCTTAGTCACCTTTCCCAACGCTAAACATGCCCAGTTCATTTTACCACCCTTGGGTCCCCAGATGTTCTTGGATAACTAACTCTGAGAAATCCTGGCCAGCGCAGCTTGTGGTGAAGGCTTCTGGGAGTTTAAGTCCAAGAACATCTGGGCACCTAAGGTTGGAAACCATTGTCCCAGACCAGTGCTTCCCAACCTTGGGCAACCCAGGTATTCTTGGACTGCAGTTCCCAGAAGCCTTCACCACTAGCTGTGCTGCCCAGGGTTTCTGAGAACAGCAGTCCAGGAAGACCTGGTTTACCCAAG